GGAAGGAAGGTTGGGCAATCTACTTCCATAGTGATACCACCTCAGAAACCCAAGGAGGGGTCGCTATGAGTCGGGGCCAACTCGACAGCACTTTGTTTTGTTTTTCTTTTTGTTTTGTTTCTGTTTCTTTAACACTAAATGGAAGGCATTCATCGCATCCTGTGAGCATTGCTATTTAAAACAGCAACCACATAGAAGCAGTGCAAAACCTTAGGAAGGCAGACTGTAAACCCAGCCCCAAACGTGGAATGCTTTTCTCTCCCTTTCTTAGTGTGGATGTGACCTGAATGAGATAGAGACCTGAATTTTTCTCCTCGTAAACTGAGTCTGACTTGCAGAATATACAGGTGCAGGAAGTGAGAATGTATATAGGCCACTGAGAGGCACATCTGAACTTGCTTCAGCTCTGTTCAGTAAACACTCTAAACACAAACGAGGTAGAATGGTCTGAGACCAGTTGTTTCTTACATGGCAACTATTCTCTCCTCAAAGCTGAGAAGACCTGCAGAACAGGGTAGATATTCAAACCAACCAGATGCTGTGGAGTCGCTTCCATGGGAGTTGATTCTGCATGTCAGAGTAAAACTGTGCTGCAGGGGGTTTTCAGTGTCTGTTTTTTGCAAGACCATCAGGCCTTTCTTCCACGGGGTCTCTGGGTGAACTCAAATCTCTAACCTTCCTGTTAGCGGCCGAGCTCCTTAACCATTTGGGTCACCCAGGGATTTCAGGATAGTTTTTGGTTTTGTTTTTTAAAAAGGGTGGCACATGGCTAAGTGCTCAGCTGCTAACCGAAAGGTCAACAGTACAAACCCAGCAGCCGCTCCAAGGGAGAAAGACCTGGCCATCTGCTCCCACAACAATGACAGCCTAGAAAACCCCGTGGGGCAGTTCTACTCCATCCCATGGGGTCACTGTGAGTGGGTGGCGACTGGAGCACACAACAACAACAACATTCATCACTTGCAAACTGACAAGCTAGGGATGAGGAGGAAAGAACACTATGGACTTAACTGTGCTTGTTCTCTGGAGCCATCAATTCCCTGGAAAATCCACCCCCACCCCCACCACACCAGTAAATTCCCACACTTCAAGAAGGACTCATTAGCATTAACAGGAGATGGCTGCACGGCCTACACACGGCCCGCGCAGGACTTCCCTTCTGGGGTCACCAAGGGTGTTGAAGCTGTTTAGGTGCCACGGCCTTTCTTACCTCCAAAGCCTTATATTCAGCAGCCTCCTCTGAGACTTCCAGTTCTCTCAGGAGAAGTCCTGCTGTTTCTAGGACTCGGGGCTAACACCCCAAACACAGCTAGGAAAAGATTTAGCTCCAAATTAGAATGAAAAGTGCAATTAACTCCACCCTTTTGGTGCCAGTGATGCCAAATACCACCCACACAAAATCCTGAGCATGAAGAAAGAGGCAGATGGGGAAAGGTTTCACAACCAGTTTTAAGTCGACTCGCCAGTGTACCGTAGTGGATCCCCATACTCGGCAGCAAAGAAACACAGCTGCCACACCTGCTGAAGCTTCTTCAAGCTGTCTGAGATCATTAGAGTTGACAGCTGGAAGAGTCCAGGCAGGGAATGTGGACCCCAAACTGGAACCCTGGTCAGCTTTCATAAAAAGGATGCAACTATATTATTAAGTGCAGATGCAATTGGGGTTTACTTTCTACCACTTCGTCATGGCATCATCACTCCCTTATATTTAGAGTAAATAAAGAATTATGTAGTTCTCCAAGAGAAACACTAAGGCTCCTGAGGCATTTGACTGCTAACCAGAAGGCTGGTGGTTCAAACCCACCAGCCACTCCTCGGAAGGAAGGTTGGGCAACCTACTTCCATAGTGATACCGCCTCGGAAACCCAAGGAGGGGTCGCTATGAGTCAGATTCGACTCGACAGCAGTGCATTGTGTTGCACTGTGTCATTAGAATGTACCATGAGCAGGACAGTGTACTGTGCTGGTACATATTGTGGGAGGGCAGGGGACTGACAAGGCTAATATGGTAAAACCTGTGAAAGCCAGTAACTGGGTAGGTAGAAACCTGTCAGAGACAGAAAACCCAAACATTTTCTATTAAAAGGAGCAATAGAAAAGTGGTAAGACTGCACGTTGCCAAAGGTGGAAAACTTGTAAGACCTGGAAAAACAGCAGCCCCTCGAGTTCCTGCTCTCATAGCTTTCACTGCATTTATTACTGTATCCATCTGTGTGTGTGTGTGTGTGTGCATATATATCTGCTTTATTGAGACATAATTCACATACTACAAAAACAAAAAACCAAACTCACTGGCGTCGAGTCGTTTCTGCCTCATCACGACCCCTATACAATTCATCAACTTAAAGGGTACGATTCAGTGGTTTTAAGTATATTCATATAGTTGTGCAAACCAATACCACCATTTTAGAACATTTTCATCACCTCAGAAAGAAATCCCATACCTATTAGTACTCACTCCCATTTCCCCCACCCCTGGTAACCAGTGATCTAGTTTCTGTCTCTCTGGATTTGCCTGTTCTGGATAGTTCACCTAAATGCCCCATACCTGTTGCCTCTGAGTCAATTCCGATTCATAATGACCCTACAGAAATGGGAAGATACAACATATGGTCTTTTGTGACTGGCTTCTTTAATTTAGCAAGTGGTTTCAAGGTTCATCCACATTGAAGCATGTATCAGTACTTCACTCCTTTTTAAGGACGAATACTATTCATAGTATACATAGACCACATTTAATTTATTCATTCATCAGCTGATGGACATTGGAATTTTTCTAATTTTTGGCTATTGTGAATAATGCCCCTATGGGCATTGGTGTACAAGTTTTTGTGTGGACATATGTTTTCATTTCTCTTGGGTACATACCTAGGAGCAGAATTGCCAAGTCATATGGTTACCCTGTGTTTAACCTCTTAAAGAACTGCCAGGCTCTTTACTAAAGTAACAATTTTCCATCCTCACCAGCAGTGTCTGAGGGCTCCCCTCCTATGCCTGCCACACTATGCCTGTGCTCCTGCACAGAAGAAAACTTCCGGCCTTTGTAACATTAAAATCCATCTCAAATTTAGACAAGGGTTTTTACCCCAGCAGGTCTCAGAACAACTGAGTGCTTAGGTAAAAAGTTAAAATTGTGACAATGGATGTTGTTGTTGTTGTTATTGTTGTTATGTGCCATCGAGTCAGTCTGACTCATAACGACCCCTCCTTGAGTTTCCAAGGCAGTATCACTACAGAAGTAGATTGCCCAACCTTCCTTCCAAGGAGTGGCTGGTGGCTTTGAACCGCCAGCCTTCTGGTTAGCAGTCAAGTGTCTTAGCCACTACACTACCAGAGCTCCTTGTGACAATGGATAGGGTGATATTTTTCTATCATTCAGCGAGCGTGGATTGCATATGCACGTGGGTATGTGACCCAATAGCAATGAGTTTGGGTTTTTGGTTTGGTGTGTATGTATGTGCGTGTGAGTGAAATTTCATAACAAATGTCCTAATGTGCATTATGGGTGAGTCCACACACTTTCTTTTCAACTCTTGGAATCACTGAAGAGAGAGTCAAGAAGTACACCTGAGGTGAACCATTGAGGGTCTGGAGTGGCAGGTTCCAGAAAGGCTTCTCCAGAGCCCACATCCCAGCAGGCAATGAGCTCCAGGCTTAACCCACGCAGAATTAAACTTAGGAGCGGTTCCACCTGTCTTCCTACTCACTTACAGCTGGAGAGGCCAGAATAAACCAGAAAGAGGGCCTGTTCCTGGCAGAATATTGCCAGTGCTCACAGTAGGAGACTATTTGATAAATGAAGGAAGACTCAAGGTCATCATCCTCTTTTGAATTGGCCCCACCAAAGACTTTGAAACTCAAAGCCCATTATCCGTGTACAAGATGTGTTCTCCAAGTCCTTGGCCTATGTTGCAGATTCTGCCACACTTGTTCAGCCACAGTCTATTGCTTCTGCTGCCAAAAAGCAGGTGCCAAATGGGGTCACTGGCAGTGCCATGGATCCTGTCGTAGAGCACCTGTAAAACAGGGCTGGGAACTCTTGGAAGGCGACCACGCCACGAGTCCTCTAATTAGCGCCAGTAAACTCACCTTTCATGTAGGGGACTTTTAAACTGTGCATCCATCAAACCCTGCAGCACATTAGAAAAGCTGCCGTTTCATTTCTATTGCAATTTCTGTAATGATTTTGAAATTTTCCATTATTTCAGAAGTGATTTAAAATGCAGCAATTGGTACATTCCAAAGAGAGCTATTAACGAAGCTCCGAGAGCCTCCCAGAGCGTGCTGGGAAACATCTTACAAGGTCAGGGGCAGAAACGAGAGGCTAGGCTGGGCTGCTCGTGGTGGGGGAAAGCATCTGTCTTCTTACTTCAGAGTGGTAACAGTGATTCCCTAGTCTGTGGGATGATGGATGGTGGTCAGTGTATTCTTCAGAGTATTTCCTACGAGTTCCTACGAGCAGGCATTTTCAGAAGGGGTAGGGAGAGATCTTTTTCCTGTTGCTGGGGTGGAGAGCCGAGCATCACACAAGCCTCCATGAAGAGTCAGTTGCCCATCTTCATAGCCTTTCCTCCCAAGACAGAGGCCGAGAAAAACCTGTTTGCATCTTGTCCCTTTTTTCCATGATTTCCCCCCACAGTTCCCTGGGGACATGCTTCACCTGAGCCGAGTCTCTCAGCTGAGCCATTCGAAAACAACATTCTGAGTGCTCCGCATTCCACACTTCACCAAGGTCAAGACTTGAAGAAAAATAACCAAACATCATATAGCTCTGATTGAGCTTTGGTCCAAGGGGCAGGGCGAGTATCAAGCAGGGAGAAAAACACAACCCCTGGGTAGGAAGAGGAAGCCAGTCTGGGAAGGCTTCAAGGTGGCTGGGTATGGAAGATGTGAGGAGGAGGGGGTACGAGAGCAGGAAAGGTGGTCTGTCATACGCTCTTGTGGCTGCTATTGAAAATGTCTCTTCTGTTGTTTTTAGCTGCCGTCTGAGTCAGCCTCCTACTGATGACAACCCCATGTATAGGGGAATGAAATGCCTCCCGGTCCTGTCTTGATCAGTTGCAGATTAGGGCATTTGTCCCATAGAGTTTCCATTGGATTCTCAGAAGTCGGTGGCTAGGCCTTTCTTCCCAACCTTTCCTAATCTGGAAGCCCCACTGGAACTTGTTGAGCATCACAACAGCACACAAGCTCCACTGAGGTACAGGTGATGGTTGTGCATGGGGTGCACTGGCTGAGAATCGAACCCAGCTCTCCTGCATGGAAAGTGAGAACACTCTGTGTTCTCTTAGGAGCTCTGGTGGCATGGTGCCTAAGGCACTTGACTGCTAACCAGAAAGCTGACGGCTCAAACCCACCAGCCACTCCTCGGAAGGAATGTTGGGCAATCTACTTCTGTAGTGATACCACCTCAGAAACCCAAGGAGGGGTCACTGTGGGTCAAAATCAACTCGATAGCAGTGAGTTTGGTT